TAGGTCGCGTGCCATAATGCTTGTACTTCTACTCATTTGATATCAAAGATAAGGAAGGAGCAGTTTTCCAGAAAATAATTAATTGTACAAATAATTAAGTTCGAAAACTTCCTTGCTTACTCGCCTACATAAAACTTGAGTTTCGTTTAGCGAAAATAATCTCTAAAATTATTTTGAATTAATTAATTTTACCTGTTAACTCCGGACTTAAAAAATGATAAATTATTTAATAAACTAGAAGAAACTCTTCCAAGCATTAAGTTCGTTTATGTAATTAAATTTAAATTTTGTTCTATGTAATTTGGTTCCTAATTGCCAACATAATTTTTCATCTTGTGTAGTGTTTTTACTAAAGAATAGAGACTCAAAATTAATCTCTTCTCGAAGTATGAATGATAAATTGGCTTTCGTCCATAAAAAGTAAACTATTTAAAAGCATATTTTTCAATTCTAAATAGCAAAATTTTGTCCTGTGAATAATAGGTAAAATATCCGAAGACATCCATTTCAAAATTGAATTTGGGCAAATAATGAAATTCTCGGAGTAATTATTCCGTTTAATATACAAAATATAATCTACTACTAAAAATACTAAATTTGGTTTGTCAATACAATATACGTCAGTCTTCTTACCAAAATTTAAATGATAAAATCTACATCAAAACTGAGTAAAATGTTTTTTTTTTTTAAAAAGGTAAACTTGTTTTTTAAGAATTCGCAAAATATACAAAGGCATTTTTACAAACTCTGAATGGAAATATAACTTCCTATGAATATTGTGTAAAACATATTATTAGAAAAATATAAATGACAAACTTACTTTGCTAATATTCCGTTTAATATACCTGTAACGATAAGAATAATAACGATAAGAATAAAAAAGTATTCTTATCGTTATTAAAATGATAAATTTCTTTAGTAAGATTTCTTAAAATATAATAAAGTAATCTTAACGAAACAGAATTGTAAATTAGTAGTGTAACTAATATGCGGATTCTAATTTGTTTTTTAACCAAATTTTTTTTCACATTTTGTTAACCGAATTTTAATGGTAAACTTGCTTTGTTAATAATACATAAATGCTTTATTGCTTATGACAGCATACACGCTAGATATGACAATTATTTGTTGCCACATGAGAACTTTCTTTGTCGCCTTGTTTGTATATAAATTGTTTTATATCTCTCTGTATAAAAGCTGTTGTGGCAGCCAGGGCCTGCTAGGGGCCGTTGCGCTGGCGAAGAAGAAGAAGAAGAAATAAAAGCGAAACGGATGTAAGTGTGTTAATATTTTGACAACGAAAGCAGCGATTTGGAATTTGTTTTTTATAGTAGTTTGCAAATTTTCAAGAGGTGATTTTTAAATAATAACCATTCTCCAGCTTTAAACAATTCGGGCTTTCTTTCGAAAATGCGAAATTCTATTAAAGGAAGAAAAATATATAAAAAATTCATTGATAAAAAAAAAAAAAAATTGTACGTTGATGAACACTTGCTTTACCATAAAAAAGCAATTTTTACAAAATATTGAAAAGTTTAGAAGTAGACGAAAGCGTTAGAAAAAATTAAATATTCTTAAAACTTGATGAACTCATAGTTTAACCGCTTCTCTGATTATCCCGAGTTAACTCGGGTATGTATATATTGCAAATATTTATTATCACGAGAAAACTCGGGCGTACCAGAATTCGTCAATACGTTTTGTTTTATCACGTTTTTACTCGTCCGGAAGAAAATAAATAAATTAATTTATTAATAATCTGCTATTATTGAAAATTTGCCAAGTTTTGTTTGGCAGTTTTGTAGTTGGATTGTGGGTCTGCTCACGTGTTTTGTGCGACAGTTGCTGAATTTACACAGAGAAATGGCATACCAACTTCATTGGCGTTTCGAAATTATCACTTCGTTTTTTCTCCCTTTTTTTAAAAACTATCCTATGGAGACTAAATTTCAACTTAACGCTTGAGTATTTTGTTTTGTTTTAGTTCCTTGTAATTAGTAATAAGTAAATAAAAAATAAGCCGATTTTTTTTCTTTTTTTTTTCTTCAAAAAAATTGGTAAGGGAAGCTGTTAAAAATTGTTACTATAAAATTAAAAAATTTAAAATATAATGTAATTGAATTTAAAAAAAAAATAGTTTTGTACTGAAAGGCAAACTTAATAGGGAAAAATGACGTAGTTAATAATACAAGACAAAGCAAATATATATCTATTTTGTTTTTTTAAAAAAAAATTATAGTTTTATTGTTGACATACATTGAAACTAAATGGCAAGATAACAAACTGATAAAGATCTATGCTATTTTTTTTTTTTAAAAAATTAAAAAAAAAAAACATTAGACTGATGGCGTTTTGATGCTGTTTATGTCGGAGAGGTTTAAACCGGGTGTGCGACCATCATTTATGCTGACACTTTAAATTCAAGTCGAAAAGACAACGAAATCAAAAATGATGTTTAGAAGTGTGATGCCGAAAGTAAACAAAATTATTTGATGTATGATGATTGTTTTGTAGATGACTGGAGAACTGGATTTTTTTTTCTTTAACAACGACATCTCAGAATTTATTTTATTAATGTTTAGAAAAGGCTTGAGCTGAAATTAAATTTGAGATATAAAAGCCATATTTATTTACAAAAATTATTTATATCATAATGTTTTTTCATAAATAAATAAAAATTCCGTTTTTTTTTTTTTTTTTTTGTGGAAAAAGAGAGCGAAAAAACTTTTATCCATTAAATAACTAAAATAAAAGCCATGTTTATTGACGAAAATTATTTATATCGTAACAATGTTGTTGTTTTTCATAAATAAAAATTCTGTAGTCTTTTTTTTTTTTTTTTTTTTTAAAAAAGAACGAAAAAACTTTGTTCCTTGAAATAATTAATAAAGCCATGTTTATTTACAAATATTATTTATATCGTAACAATATTGTTGTTTTTTCATAAATAAATAAAAATTCAATAGTTTTTTTTTAAAAAAAAAAAGAAAAGGCATTAATCCATTAAATAATTAATATGGTACTCATCGGTCATGAGGACCATATGCTGTCGACTGATTTTCCACATTATCGCCAACACAAACATAGGAGCGTAAAACCGATAAATAAATTATCAAAAAGGTCGATATATAATCGCACTATATCGCATTTTTTTTACTTAACTCATTCATTTCATTTTTATATTGTTCTATTTTTCTCATTGTCCAAACAAAATCAATTAACTCACACAAATAGCGTACTGAATAATTATCGTTATGTAAAATCTTTATTATTTTTTATATGGGATATGCAAATATATAGACAAATTATACTAATGATTTTTTTTAATAATTTGTGTGTACAGAGTGTCGCAGGATTATTGAAATGAACTATATAGGTAGGGAGCATCACAAGGATTTAGAATTGCATAGCAAACCATGGTCGAAACCGTCACGGAAAAGTAGGTACAAAAAATACAGATCCATTAAACTGAGATCACATGAAATTGATCAGAGATGCTGAGGTATATGAGATGTCACAAAAACTGCTCGTTACTATTCCTATCAATGCACGTCGGGACATCAATTGGCGCTCAAATACACTTGGGGGTTTTATTGGAATCCACAACAGCAGAGATTGTTTTTTAAACCTGATTCATTTCGGAATCCACAGAACGTGTACAGTTCTTTCACCAAGACTTGGCTCCGCCTTCATCACGTGGTAACCGCCGATACAATTTCGCTATTTTTTGGTGAAGGGATGTGAACAATCCTGAGCAAGGTTGCATTGGGGCGATCGTATGGCAAAAAGATTTATTTCGCAATCTTTATCTGCATTTTTTTTAACATGAAATATTTCATACATTGGATGATGTCTCTCTTTTAAGTGAATAATTTTTCCTTTTTGAAACATTTTGCTGCAATATATTTTATTTAATTTAATTACCGTCGTTGAACAGCCGACCCAGCTTTACGGGATTACGACAACTAATGTTCAACTCCGTAGCCTTGTCATTTTGAACCCGATCCAGAAGACAAGGAAACTCCTGGATCAAGTATTAGGAAAATTTGCCTTCGTGGAGGACTTTTTGACGGAGCTAACCCGCATTCGCGTTACATGGAGACCACGAGAACCTCTCATGGTTAGCCTGACAGCAAGGGGACTTTAACCCATGATCCGTCCATCACTGAGGATATTTCACGTCAGCACTGTGGTCGGTGCAAGCCGGATGCGGAATTCGTATCAACTGGGATTCGAAGCCGGTTTGCCTAATTGGAAGGCGAACACTCTACCCCCTGAGGCATATCGACTATTTTACAACTTTGTAAAAATGTTTCACAATTCAAACAAAAAATTAATTTAAAAATTATTTGTGTTAAATTTTGTTCAGTATTTTTAGAAGTTTTTTAGCATAAACTTTAAAAATAGTTTGCAAAACATTAGAGCATTGAAAAGGTTTCAACGTAACATAAAAACTCATTTTTAATTTTTTTTTCAAAAATTCGGATTCGAATTTGTATCGACTGGGATTCGAAACCGGTTCGCCTCATTGGAAGGCTATCCCATGAGCCATCGTGATTCTGCTGCAATATATTTTACTAGCTAGAGTAACGAAAGGTATAATAAAGTGAAGTAAGTGACTGAAAAAGAATTCGTTTACGTTTGGAGCGCATTAAGTGTTATCTCAATTTCAAGCGCGGAGATGATTCTCTTCTTACTCCCTCGCCGAAATAAACTCGTCGTCCGAGAAGGTGGGGCCAAGTGTCATCTCCTGGTGAACGAACTATACCTGTGCTCGTAGTCGGGTAGCTCAAATGGCAACGTCAGTCTGTTTCCTCTTGTAAACACCCCCTAGCAAGATAACAAAGATATTTCCGACGATTGATTGTTCTATAAATTTGAGTCCTTGTGATGTCCTCCCCGTAAAGTGTGTCCTATTAATCCTGGGACATGTATATCTCACAATTTGTCCCCGTCTATATGAACTGTTTATAAAAAGAAAATAATTTTTTCTTTTTTAGAAATAAAATTTTCGGAGTTAAAATTCTGGATTTGGATCAAACTGGCATGGAACTGAAAAAACTCCTGAAAAAAGAAGTTTATCTTGAATAAAGTTTATGTCAGCTGCTTATATCACAGTTTGGGGCTACTTTCGGAGAAAAATCGAAGGCTTAAAAATGCATGGAAAGTAAGTAAATTCTTTTTTTTTTTCGCTATTTACACATCTCCATCTTTCTTAATTTCAGTGGTAAAAGAAAAACCTGAGAAATTATAAGTATCAAAATAGTTAAAATTAAACACCCAATACTTTTGGCTAGTCAAGTCTTGCTGTAGTAAAAGCTTCTTGTCGGAAATTTTTATTAAGGGGCTGGAAACAAAACAAATATTATTTCAGTAAAAAGAACAATTAGAGCTGTTTAATGTCATTACATATATTGCAATTGCAGAAGAAGTTGCAAAAAGTCATTGAATTTACTCAAAGTGTTTAGAGTAATATTAGAGTTAATGGAAGTAACAACATGTTTTATCCAAATACTCGACATCTACTTGTCGTAACAAGACGTCCCAATTTTACTAGGTTAAAAATATCTTGTATTTTTCAGCATACTCCTTTGTCAAAAGGATTATTCTAAATAACAAAAATACCTTCGAAGTGCCTTAAATCAACAAAAAGTTTGATAACAGATAATATTCTTATTTTACAATTTTTTGTCATTATAAATAAGATTAAAATTTTATAACGTGTCGTAGCTGTTTCATCGATTTTGCACAAAACTAATTGCATTGGCAATGCAGAATGAATTTTCCTTGTAAATTTCTCGTGGTAATTAATTTCGTAAATATGATTAGTAAAGAAAAGAATTCTTATAAACTTTAAATTCAAAGTAATAAATTATGGTACACTTAATCTCATAAAAAAACTTATACTGCATTTATTCTGCTTAATTGAAAATAGTTGAGCAATCATTTAAAGTTTAATAATAAATTATTCACTTGAATAACACTCTGAAAAAAAAAATACATTTTTACACTTTTTTAGGTACGGAGTGTTTATTTAAAACTAAAAGATTTTAATCTTACGTTCCTTTGACAACTAAATAAATATTAGCCTATGATTCATTGATAAAATTTTCTTTCAAAAATATTTCAGCTTTATTTATAAGCTTATTTAGCTATAAATTAAGTCCTTATTGCACGCCATTTTTAATCTATTTTTTTTTCTTTAGCTTTGCTGTTTGTTTCAATTTAAAAAAAAGAAAAATACTTGTAAATAAATAACGCTAATTATAGAAAATATCTGCATTAGTTTATTTTTCTGTAAAAAAATAAATTTTAAAGAATTCCGTTGAAATAAGTTATTTATAATTAGTCTAATTATCCGAGATTTACAGTTTTGTTTCTTCACAAAAAATCAAATATCTCGCTTTCTTCACAATAAATAATTATTTATTGAATAAAATATACGTCATAAAAAATTAATTAAGGCTTTTCTGACTTAGTTTTAGTTTCATTACTTTTTCCTTCTGACTTGAAATTTGGAAATTTTCTTTATTAACAAATTTTAATTTTATAAAAAGTATATATAAGTTAATAATTGCTTTTATCAAAAGTGTTATTTATTTTGTATGGATGAAAATATTGTAGCCAATCATTCTGCCGCTCTTTTCCGGGGACTACCAAAAATCGATATGTGGGGGCTCGTAGCTATCGACAATGCCAACCTTCATCTATGAAAAGGTACCCGATTATAGAAACGAGTCAACATGTCTTATATACTAGTGAATTGGAATTGTAATTTTGTAGTGGTAGATACACTACAGTACTCCCCCAATAGAATTATATTTGTGATAGAATTCGATGAACGGATAACACTAGTTGTTCCATTGCGGTTTTGCGAGAAGGCGGGAGAGCTGTATTAAGATCACCGTACTTTTTGAATGCTGATCGTGAGAGCTGTATTAAGTTCACGGTCGTGGCCGCTCCCGTGTTGCCATTAGCAGTTCAGTGAATACGCTGTACGTTATGTGTGATTGAAACTGAGTTGCAATAGCACGAACAGGTGGATAATGTTTGAGTCGCAAGTAACTGTTCAAGTAACAAGTCAACTGTTCAATGTGGACCATCCATTGAAGTTGGCGTGTTCAAATCGTAGTGGGCGTTACTGTCAAGATAGACGTGTTTACATCGCGTCCGGGTCACCAATGGGGAGGGTGTGGCATCGATAATGTCTACCTTCATCTATGAAAAAGTACCCCAGCATAGAATCGAGTTAACATCTCTTATATACTAGTGAATTGGAATTATATTTTTGTAGTGGTAGATGCACTACAATAATAATAAATATCTTTTGATTTTAATTTTCATATCTCTACCCATTTTTTGATATTACTGAATAATGTATTTAATATTTCACTCCTGAACATCTATCATTTGGACATGTTTGGAAATAAAAGAGACTATCATGCTAACTATTTCCACTAAGGCCAAATTATAATTGATTGTAATTTATACGAATAACTCGTTATAATAATAGAAACTGTAAAAGCTTAACTCTGCTGTAAAAAAAAATAAATCTAGCTATGATTTCAGTAATATTTACACGCTTAAAAAAATTTATCCACTTAAACTAAATTTGTTTGAACTGGTAGCTCGCATGCCCAGAGCTCTTTTATCTCTTAAAAGGTTAGAAAATGATCCGTTTATCAAAATTTTACGCGTAGATAAATCACTTAGAAAAAACATTTTTTTTATATCATTAGAATAAATTGAAATTAATCACAAAGAAATAATTTAAAAATGTGTTTAGCAAAGTGAAAAACATTTCAACTTAAACAAATGAACGATTCATTTATCACAGACTCGATTAAAATAAATGATGAAGTTTTATGAATCGTATAAAAGTGAATTTCTCCTGAGACTCATGAAGTTTTATCATCGATGCTTCTTTAAAACTGAAGAGAAAGTTATAAATGATAAATTTTCTACAATGGATATTATTCCTCCATAAGTTTCATTCCAATAAAAGTTAATAGCTTAAAGCGATGAATTGAATGGAATTTTTTTCTTCTCTTGACCTGATGGTAATGTGTTTCAAATATGTTAGTTTTATTATTGTTAATAGTTAGTTGTACTTTAGTGAGTTATTTTTTATTTCGGTAACTTTTGGGTGTTTATGACGAATATTTGAAAATGTTAATTTTTAGCCCAGCCCCATCTCAGCAAAAAGGAAAAAAAAATCAGATTTTAAAAAAAAAATTTAAATTATTTCAACTCTAAATTGTTTGGACTGAAAAAAATGGAGAATTTTTAATGATTTTCATGTAGGTGTAAACATCTTGCCTAATTGGCATTTTAAAATGCTTTGTTGTTGATGTATGTCTGGTAAGGCAGAGGGGTGCGATTGTTCTTGTTTTCCCGTTACGCCATCTATGACCAAGAATTCGACTTTTGCCACGCCCATACGTTTATAGGTTGAACCCATTCATACATCCATTCACTCATCCACAGATCGTAATTTTAACCTGAATCTGAGTACGATCAATCTCCAATTCAGTACCCCCAGAGATATTTTATTTTATTTCATAATCGTCGTTGAACAGTCGACTTAATTTTTGGGTTAACCACTACTAATGTTCGACTACGTAGCCTTGTCATTTTGAACAAAATCCAGAAGACAAGGGAACTCCTGCATCAAGTAGTGGGGGAAATTTGCCGTCGTGGAGGACTCTTTGATGGAACCAACCAGCATTTGCGTTACACGGAGAGGAAGACCACGAGAACCTTCCACGGTTAGCCTGACGGCAAGGGGACTCTAACCCATGATCCGTCTACAACCTAACCCATCAATCCCGTAGATGGCTGGTCGATTTGAATCTCGCACCTGGCTCGCACCGACTATAGTGCTCACGTAAAATATCCTAGGTGATAGACGGATCATGGGATCACCGTCAGGGTAACCGTAGGTGGTTTTGGTGGTCTTTCACTCCCTGTACCCTCCTAATGAGGTGACCTGGGTTCGAACCCCAGCGATAGCTGGTCTATACAAATTCCACACCCGGCTTGCACCGAACACAGCGCTGACGTAAAATGTCCTCAGCAATTGACGGATTATAGATTGGAATCCCCTCGCCATCAGGCTAGCCATGGGAGGTTTTCGTCTCCATGTAAAGTAAATTTGGGTTACTTCCAGCAAAAAATCCTCCAAGAAAGCAAATATCTCTCAATACTTAAACCTGGAGTTCCTTTGTGTTTTGTATTGGGCTTAAAATCACATGGCTACAAAATTAAACATTACTACTCGTAAACTAAAAATTGGGTCAGCTGTTCAACGACGGTTATAAAAAAATTATGCTGCATTTTGTGGGCACAAAAAATTACATAAGTTGGAATTTTTCCTTCAGTAGAAGAAACTTTACCGAAAAGGGGAATTTTTTTTTTAAAAAAATAAAGTTTTACCATAAAAGTCCCTTTTGGTCTCTTTTAAGGCCTAGATGATTTTATTACGGCAAAGGTATACATGGTTTAAAATTACGGTTTCGCCTCAAATGTAAGAGACTTTAATGAAGACCTTATTACTTTGTATGCAGACAGGAATGGCGGCCAAAACATTATGAAATTTCAATAAAACATTGGAAAACTTCGATAAAACATCAGCGGGGCCGGGATAGCCTGGTCGGTAGGGCACTGGACCCATGTCCAAGAGGTCGTGGGTTCAATCCTCGCCGGCCGAAGACTGCCCGTGTAGTAAATGGTGACTGATGCACGTTAAATTTGTTAAGTCTCAAAGTCCTCCATATTTCCATAACAAATCATTCCTCTGGGTGTACTGATCTAGGAGTTTCCTTGTCTTCAGGATTAGGTCAAAATGAGAATATTACGAAGTTGAACATTAGTGGTCGTAAACCAAAGATTGGGTCGGCAGTTCAACGACGGTTATAAAATAAAATAAAACATCGGCCAAAACTTAATAAAATTGCAATGAACACAATGTAAGCAAAATTAATAAACTCAATAAAATTCATTTTGAATCGAAACAAAAATTTATGGATTGAGAACAGAAAAAAAGATCGACTCACTTTATTTAGACGCAAATCTGGACGTTCCCATAAATAAAACAGCATCGCCCAGCTTAGAAATCCATCGCGATCATAACTCAAGGGGCACCCTCAAATATAGTCTAACCCTAATATAGTGCTGGAGTACATTTCTAAATAAAAAATTTCAATAACAAATAGTTTTAATTTCAAGAAACTATAGGTTCATGCTGACAATTTGCGTCGTTTGTATAATTGATATCGAAGTCGCTGACTTACCATAGACTAAATTTGACAAATCAAACATGAATAACTGTTCCAAAATCTTAGCAGAAATGAAATAGCATGTCATTCGCAAAAAAAAAACTTGAGAAAGTGTTGACGAAAAAAACAAACAGATTAAACTAAAAAAAACATGGTAAAATTATTATAAAGAAAATGAAAAATAAAATTTTCTCGCATAAGATTGCCGTTTTAATTGCATCTTTTCCGTGACAATTGATATAAGAACATGGTTAGCAGTTACAAAGCAAACAAGTTGAAATGTATAATAATTTAAGTTGTTTAAGAAATATTCAACGAAACTTTATTTTATGCGATGACAGAACCTTTGAAAAGCAGTTTAATAAATTATGACACATGATAACGAGGGCACTCAATCAGTTACCCTAAAACTACCGCTACAAGACTACAAAATTATAAATCGTGGTGATAAATATGAAACATTTTCCTCGAATTCGCGAAACTTGAGCTACGTAAATGGGAACTAAGTCTATAAAAACGGCAGGAATTTCCAACTGAACTCTAAGCACCATGCTTAACTTTAAAAACTGAGTTATTTGGGAAAGTATAATAATGAAATCTTTTCTATTAAACAGTTAATGGCCTCCATAGCTGCATTTTAATTAAATAAATCTCTCAAAATAAGTAATGAATATTTCACAGTAAAATCGACCCTTGCGAGAAATATCGTTTAGCCTTTCAACAAAATGACAGGAATTTCTGTTTCTGCAAATAAATAAATAAATAAACATTAAAGGCTAGTTTTTTAAGGGCCAGTTAGGTTAGGATACTTGACATTTTTGATTTTGTTTAAATTTTCGGGGTATGTTCTTAATTTAAAACCATGAGATACGAGATTTTTTTTTTGTATTTTTGCCAAAAGCATTTTGTTTTGAAGTGTTGTTGGGTCAAATGTTAAATGTTTTGAGAAAAACGCATCAGTTTAACAAGTGACAATACTTTTTGCGAAATGAATGAATAACAACATTGGCCATTATTTCATTTCCTACTACGTTCACATTAACTATTAAGACATAAAACACTTTCCGTAGTATCAAAGCTTAAAGGTTATTCGAGAAAAAGTTATTTTCCTAGACTTTAGTTCTTGAAATATAAGCAACAGTAAACCTAGTACCTGAATAGTTGAATACAGAAATAGTTATGACAAAATGCTGTAAATTATTTTAAAATAAGTGATTTAGTATAAAGAGTGCGGGTTACTTTATATGTTGTAATCTTAGGCATACATTCAATTTCGTCACTGCGAAAATTATTTTCACCTCCATCACAATCAGCTCATCTTGATGAGCTGAAATCTTGTTTTATTCACCTGAATGATGTTTCCCCTGTTAACGATACCACATCCTTTCCAACTCTTCATAACGCATGGAAATGCATTTTACCCTGATTTGCCTCTCGGCCATCGTGATTTTTCTTGTTCTGTTTTTCATATTTTTTCTCTCTCGGCTTATGTGTTTCTTCTAGATTTGTTTCCTACCTTTATTTTTCCATTTTTCGTTGGCAACTTTACGTTTTTTTTTTTATTTCAAATCATTTTTGTTTCTTTACATTTTAGTCTTGAAGATGGGCGTCTATTTTTAAAGTGCTTGAAACATGTTGACTGTAATTTTTTTTTTTTTAAATATTTTTGAGGAAAATGAAGTTTTCAATTAGGTAATATGGAGACCCTATATCCCAGATTGTGGCTATCTATCTAGACACCCTATATTTTGAGGGTAAGGATTCAAAATCGTTAAAAAAAAAGGTATATTTATTCATAAAAAGTTCTTTTTTACGTATGATTTTTGAATTATTTAAAATATAGTCAAAACTATTTAATTAACATATTTGAGGTCCACTCTTCGTGCCATAAACATTGAATCCTAAAACGGAACGGTGAAGCGTAGTGTATCTACCACTACAAAGCGGTGTGCTCTGTAGTGTGTCTATCACTACAAAGATACAATTCCAATTCACTAGTATATAAAACATGTTAACTCGATTCTATGTTGGGGTATCTTTTCATGGATGAAGGTTGACATTGTCTATAACGATTGTCCCCACATGGGTGACCTTCGGACATGATGTGAACATGCCTACCTTGACTGAAACTCCCACTTCGATATGAACACGCCTATTTCGACAGTAATGCCCATTTCGAACTGAACACGCCTATTTCGATGGATGGTCCACACTGAACAGTTACCTCGCTACTTGTGACCACGATATTATCCACATTGTAGCCCTGCTGCTACTCAGTCTCGATCATGCACACATTTGGCCTGTAAACATTCAATTTCTAATGGCAGCACGAGAATGACCACGACCGTGAACAAAGTCCCGTGATCTTAATACAGCTCTCCCGGCATCTATCAAAGCATCAATAGAATCAACTACTGGTATCCGGTCATCGAATTCTATGGCAGATGTAATTCTGGCGGGGGAGTACTGTAGTGTATCTATCACTAAAAAAATACAATTCCAATTCACTAGCATACGAGACATATTAACTGGATTCCATGGTGGGGTACCTTAACATAGATGGAGATTGACATGGTCGCCTCTACCCACATTGAGTCATAAGTTATTCAGAGTAGTTCTTTTGTTTTGCGCTCCGTACATGAATTATTTTCAGCAAATTCTCTAATATATGCTTATTTTCAGATCAATTTGGATAACAGCTTGAAATGAATTGACTTGAAAAAGACATCTTTGGATGAAAATTTCCGCTAAAATAACTTCATTAAATTTACGTGATCTTAATAAAATATTCATTTCCTTTATTGAAGTGTCATTTTATTCATTACATTATTTGAAATATATGTGGAAATTTCACTTTTAAAGCAATAGAGTTACTATTTAAAATAATATTAAACATAGCTTAGCATATACTAATAAATTCAACAAAGACAATATTTTAAACAATGCCTAAATCAGTCAGTTTTTTTAATATGTTTTTTTTTAATTTTTCTTACTATTGATTAACAAACCGTCCATATTTGGTCAATTAATATTAATTATGTTTTAATATTGATTTAAAATATAATTATATATTGCCCTTAATATTGATAGTTAAAATTCTTGTAAAATATGAAGTAGAAAAAAAAATCAAGTTAGGAGTCACTATTAAAGCCTACGGTTCACTAGTGATAAAAGCAGAATAAAAAAAAACCAAAACAGTTTTATTGCCTGATGTTTTCACATTTGCACTGTTGTTGTAACCCAACATGCTCTACAAAATGTCGACACACTGCCTTGGCCTGCTGGATCACCAGATCTTTCACCCATCGAGAACGTATGGGACATCATTGGACAACTTCAACTTCATCCACTACTAGCAATAACTATCCCCGCATTAACTTACCCGGTGCAACTGGCATGGCACTCCATCCAAAAACTGACTAACGACATGCTTGCATTCAAAATTCTGGTGGTTACACCGGTTATTACTGTAGCAATATTTCACATTTAAAGTGATTTTTAATTGCATTAACCTGTGATTCATTCGCTACATTTTTCCGTAAGACATTATGTTTTAACATTTAAAATTTAAACAAGAATAAATAGGGATAAAATGTTTAAAAAAGTATAGTACTTACCATTTTGTGACCACTCCATCTGAGCATATCTGCTTGAGACGCAATTCCAGAATCCATCATGGCAACTTTCCTTTAAAAAATCTGAACATTTAATTAAATAATTGTTTAACAGTCTTGTTTTCCTAATAAAACATATCGGCGCTCTGTCGCCGAGGAAAATGAAAAAGCTATAGTTTAAGTGCCCTACACNATTCATTTCCTTTATTGAAGTGTCATTTTATTCATTACATTATTTGAAATATATGTGGAAATTTCACTTTTAAAGCAATAGAGTTACTATTTAAAATAATATTAAACATAGCTTAGCATATACTAATAAATTCAACAAAGACAATATTTTAAACAATGCCTAAATCAGTCAGTTTTTTTAATATGTTTTTTTTTAATTTTTCTTACTATTGATTAACAAACCGTCCATATTTGGTCAATTAATATTAATTATGTTTTAATATTGATTTAAAATATAATTATATAATGCCATTAATACTGATTGTTGAAATTCTTGTAAAATATGAAGTAGAAAAAAAATCAAGTTAGGGGTCACTATTGAAGCCTACGGCTCACTAGGGATTAAAGCAGAATAAAAAAGTTTTATTGCCTGATGTTTTCACATTTGTACTGTTGTTGTTGTAACCCAACATGCTCTACAGAATGTCGACACGCTGCCTTGGCCTGCTGGATCACCAGATCTTTCACCCATCGAGAACGTATGGGACATCATTGGACAACTTCAACTTCATCCACTACTAGCAATAACTATCCCCGCATTAACTTACCCGGTGCAACATGCATGGAACTCCATCCAAAAACTGACAAACGACATGCTAGCATTTAAAATTCTGGTGGTTACACCGGTTATTACTGCACCAATATTTCACGTTTGAAATGGTTTTTAATTGCATTAATTAAGCTGTGATCTTAAAACTTTAATCAATGTTACTCTGACAAATGCATTGCCGAAACTTCATATATATATTCATTCGCTACATTTTTCCGTAAGACATTTTGTTTTAACATTTAAAATTTAAACAAAAATAAATAGGGTTGAAATTTTTAAAAAGTATAGTACTTACCATTTTGTTACCACTCCATCTGAGCATATCTGCTTGAGACGCAATTCCAGAATCCATCATGGCAACTTTCCTTTAAAAAATCTGAACATTTAATTAAATAATTGTTTAACAGTCTTGTTTTCCTAATAAAACATATCGGCGCTCTGTCGCCGAGGAAAATGTAAAAGCTATAGTTTAAGTGCCCTACACTTTAAGAAATGCGATGATTTTAAACTACAGATATAATCTTGCCTTGAATCGGGTCTTTGGAACAGACAAATAACTTAAATATTTTAAAAGTCATAAAACATTTTATAAAATTTGCCAATTTGAAGACATTTTCCCTCCTCGATTAAAACTTTAAATATCACTGTCAGTTTTCACAAATTTTTATGAGCCCATTTAATTCAGAATTGCAGTAAGTTTTTAAATATTAAAAAATTAGATAGGCAACGCTTTTCATTTTCAGAAAGATGTGACTTCTCTCCAGGTTGACTTTTTTTTTTTGCCATTTGCAAAATAAACGTAGAAATCGCATGCTTTAGATAGGCTAAACTTGATCTTACAGTCATGAGTAACAGTTGAAAACTCTCAGTTCTTAACAAAAATAGAATATTATTCGCCTAGAAACATCATTTCATACTATGATGAAAAACATTGAAAAACAGCGTTAATAAAATTATTTCTTGTTTACCTGTAATACTCCAGGAAAAATTCAGAACTATAAAATAATATAAAATACGATCCACTGCAAAATGAAAATCGAGATCGTTGTAAGGCGATCACAGGTTACCAAAATGGTTGTTGTCTAATTTTTTTTTTTTTTTGGAAAAGAAACTTTGTGTTTTCATATTAGAGATCTCTGAACTGCTCGATACACAATTTCGAAGACATATTTAAATGCAGCTCAGGCACATTCTGCGCAAACTCTTTTGATGACTGAATCGACATCGAACAGCAAATCGAGATCAACATTAACATTTTCGGATGGGTACAATGGTGTTTGATGGAGATTGTCATACACCCTCTTCGGATTCACAAGTTCATACGTGAAATATGATTTGAAAGCTAGGCTTTCGTTTCAATTTTACATGAATAGTGAATGAATCACTCATATTGCGTGGAAGACAGTCTACGATCTTGTGCAAGTTACTGGATACGTTGACAATGAATCCTTTTATCCCTAATTGGTGATCACACCCAGTTCTCGTATTTGCATGAAAAGGGTTCGAAGAGTCACCATTCTCTCTTCGGTAGGGTTCAATTCTCTCAACCACTTTAGTAGTTTTGTGAGGGACGGGCTTCATGGCTGCGTTTGCGAATGGAATTCATTCGTTTTTCCATTTGTGTGTACAGCTTAAGGTATTCCCGTCTACGTTCTTTGGATTTTTCAGCCTCGGTAAGTATAGACCAAGGATTTCCAACTTACATGAGGCAGGGGAACATGAGGCATTAAAAACACAAATCAAATGGCGGATAGCAATTTTATCAAAATTTTGCGTAGGGCACTTTTATGTTTGAAGGAACATTAAATATTACTGTCAGATTTTTACCAAGTTGTACAAAACAAAAGTATTGAATTAGAAATGAAAAAATGAAGTAGATTTTTAAAAATATTTAATTGCATGTTAAAAAATTTGGGCTACAATAACTTTAATGTGCACCTATATATTAAACAATTAATGTGTAACAGATATTTAATTGTTAAGATATAAAACTTTAAAAAGCTTGGTATTAAAACTTACATAGTAGCACACAAAATGTTCAATGACAAAATTGAGGTGTGTCTGCTGCAACCACCAGAGAATATTTATTTAAAATTTACAAATGTGTGTGTAAATATTTTCGTCCAAAATGAGTGGCTTCAAAAGGCTAAATCGGAAAATTTCTTCAAGCGAATTTCTGATACACACACGCTAAATTATATTCACAAAATACAAAAAAAAAAGATATAAAAAGGAGCAACATACACGATTATTTTTGTATTGGAATAAATATTTTCTTGGATGCAAAACTGAGAAATAATTTTTTTTGCACCATTGGTATGTTCAATTTCACAGAAATGAAGAATTTAGGTTTTTATTAAAGAGAAAAGTATTTTAAATCCTTACAGAATATTTACGAAAATTGTTAGCAAAAAATGACAACTAATATATTTTAGTTCGCGGGCCACAAAAAAAAAGCTTCGCGGGCCGGATGCGGCCCCCGGACTGCCAGTTGGAAACCACTGGTATAGACCTTGGCATCGTTTTTTTCTTGATTCAACTCTAACTTTTGGGACCGTGTCAATCCGTTTGGACTTTTTGGATATTTACCCGAATGAGTATTGAAAATGTTCCAGTTTGAACTCTAGGTTAGAATTACTGATTCTTAATTAAAACAATAAAAACAAAAAATATCGTTCAAATGATGAAATTCTCTTTTATTCACAACTCAAGAAGTATTTATGGGATCTCTGTGATACCATTTCTCAAAAATAAGCTCACCCACTTAATGCACAACAAAATTAAATGTGAAAAATGGAATTTTAAAAAAAATATCAAACAGCAGCGGTCGTCACAGCAACGCATGCGCACTGCTTGCTATTACTCTTGATTATTGTAGTTGATAAGTGAGGACGCCATGAAATTCAAACCAAGAACCATTTTGCCAATTAGTAATAACATAAAGTAAATGTAAGATGTATGCAATGAATAATGCTTGATTTAAAAATGGGATTTATAGTCAAATTTTTTTTAAGAAATCTTTGTTATCAGGGGTTTGTTTAGAAGAAATTTGGGTCCGTTAACGGACCCTTCACAAAATATCTTTTCATAAAAACGGACCCTTCACAAAATATTTTAACTTAAAAACGGACCCTTCACAAAATGATTTTTCTTTTAATCGGACCCTTCACAAATTTGTTTATCTTCATTATTATTTTGTTAATCGAATAAACCCTTTCCAGGGCAGAAAACAAGAAAGATGGATGTAAACGAATTAAGTTTTGTCTTCGGCAGACGATTCTTCCATTATTCGTCCGAAATTAATATTCTGCGTTCAGCAGTATAGGCTAAATACCAAATAT